TCTCTCTCTCTCTCTCTCTCTCTCTCTCTCTCTCTCTCTCTTTTCTCTCTCTCTTTCTTTTATTTTGAGAACGGTGAATTTTTCGAGCTGACATGGAGCCGCATATATTTTTCTGGAAACTTCTACGTAGCTGAAAAAATGTCAAGGTTTTTCGTAAATAAATAACNCTCTCTCTCTCTCTCTCTCTCTCTCTCTCTCTCTCTTTTCTCTCTCTCTTTCTTTTATTTTGAGAACGGTGAATTTTTCGAGCTGACATGGAGCCGCATATATTTTTCTGGAAACTTCTACGTAGCTGAAAAAATGTCAAGGTTTTTCGTAAATAAATAACACAAGGTTTACAAATTACTTTTTCTTTAATTCATGTAAAATGATGAAATACATTTTTAGGCTCACAAATGCTATTTTTTTTCGTTCCAATTTCAAATTATTTACAATCACAAGCGAGTATTATTATCATATAGTCTTTAGTATAAAGGCATTCGGTAAGCCCCTCCCGCCAAACCATCCAACTCGTCGTAGCAGAAATGGAACATTTCACCAAATAATTGATACAAATATCCCAGATTCTCCTGAGGTATTGTAAGGCGGAGGTCGTCCTTGGTCAGAATGTAAATCTCCTCGAAATTGTTGCGTATGCGATAGTGGAGTTCTTCAGTGGCTAGCATCCTGTTGTATTCCATATAATGCATGGCAACACTTGTGATCGCCCGGACTAGAGACTCCTTGAATTGTTTGAGAGGCAATGAGTCCAAAAATTTTAACCACTGATCGATCCATGCCGCTCTGTTTTTTAATGCTGTAATGCTTGGGCTCATCATAATGAGGGGTTGCCTTACATCAGCACGTACAAAAGCAACGCAGGGGTTATCGTAGCTGCGATGGAATCTCACTTTGATATCCCCAAATTGCTTAGCAGGTACATTGTAGACGGCTTTTGGGTGAAGCTTCTCAGGATCTAAGTAGTCTGTAATGGCATTCAAATCTTTGTACAGAAGGCCCCATTCCTCCCGTGACATTGACAGCACGACACGGTTGGGGCGTACGGCCATTAATTGCACCACAGGAACAAATTTTTCGAGACAGGTAACTTGTAACCCAACACGACTTTGTTTCGTCTCCGACTTATTAAGAGGTATAACTTGCGACAGCACCACCTGCTGTTCAACACCACTGCACTCTTTTTCGTTGATATTTTCCATGTTAAAAAACTGATGAGCGAAATCGGATCGACTGGATAAAATACACCGCGAGCAGCCGCGTTTTATAGCGTTAAGTATTGATTGATTGATTGATAGGTTTTATTTACTGTAAGTTTTGTCTTACAAAATGACACCGTAAGGAGTCAAGAAAGTATATATAATAATAGTAACTATAATCAATATAAACATCTACAGAGTTTGCAAAGTACTATAGACTCTGTGAGTGAAAACAATATATACAATAGAAAACAATAGATATAAGAGTGATTTAGTGTTAAGTGCTGGCGGTTATGCGAGCTTAAGGTGAATGGCGGGCTCCCAGTAGAGACCGATTAGAATAGAATTAGAAAGATGAGTGTAAGGATTATGAGAAGAAGAGTGTGAGAAGAAGAGTGCACAAAGGCACATGAATTGAAATGAGATTAATAGCGTTGAATATGTAGCTCATTACGAAGTAGACGATCCTTTAGTGCAGCATTGAAAGCTGCCACTGAAGTCAGGTCACGCACGGATGATGGAATAGAGTTCCATAAGTAGGTTGCTGAGATGAAAAAGGAGCGTTGCAAAGCCACCGCGCCATGGCGAGGGACAGACAAGGGTAGCACATGACTACGTGTCGGTCGAACACTCAAGTTGGCCACAAACCGATTAGACAAGTAACCAGGGGTTCCAGAGGAGAGTACCCTGTATGTGAGACTCCCGAGGAAATATCTCCTGCGAGCCTCACTCGTCAGCTAGCCAAGTCTCTCGCGATACGGAGTCATGCGCTCGTCCAACCTAGCTCCAAAGACAACTCTAATCCCATAATTGATAAGACGATCAATCTTGACCGAGAGCTCCCCAGACAGGCCTTCATAAATAAGGCAACAGTAATCGATCAACGGGAAAATCAGTGCCTCAACAAGATGCTTGCATAGCTGTAGCGTCGTACTGGGATGAAAGAATCGAAGTCTGTACATCACAGAGTGAACCCTCCGAGAGATGCCCATGACATGGGGCCTCCAAGTCATCTTGCTATAAAAGATTACACCAAGGTTACGAACGGAGATCTCGAAAGGAACTGTAGCGTCGCCAATGGCCACGAAGGAGTCATTTCTGGAGTACGCTCGGTTCACCAATACTTGTGAACCGCATACTATCACCTTGGTCTTGGCAACATTCAGCCGGAGCCTATTGATTGATGCTTAGTCAGCCACACGACTGGCAGCAGCGCTCATCTTAGCTACGGCTTCATCCTGGTTGTCAGGGATGTAGCTGAAGTACACCTGGAGGTCATCAGCATAGACGAGATGCCTCACATTTGCCGGGAACACTTCACATACATCATTGATGTATATGAGGAATAATAGGGGACCCAAGACTGACCCTTGAGGAACGCCCTTGTTGAGAGGACGGAAGGACCATAGTCCTCCAGAACCATCAAAGGTCGCCTGGGAACGACCGGACAGATAAGAAGCAATCCATCTGATCGCAGTGATGGAAAACCCATACCTCTGAAGCTTCCTCAGCAGCAAAACATGGCAAACCGAATCAAAAGCCTTGCTGAAGTCAAACAACAGTACCAATGTCAGCCCACGACGATCGATACCAATGCGTATATCGTCATTTAGTTTCAGCAAGGCAGTCTGAGTGCTGTGTCCAGTCCGAAAGCCTGCCTGGAAGGGATCAAGTATGGAGCATCGAGCAAGGTAACCGTGGATTTGGAGAGAGGCTAGTCTCTCAAGGACCTTCGACAAAAAGCACAATAGTGCAATTGGCCTGTACTCATTCACGGAAGATGAATTTTTCACCTTCTCAAGTGCCATCACCAATGATTTTTTTCCACGCAGCAGGAAAATCAGAGCAGGAAAATGAAGAATTAAAGATTTTCACTAGAAAGGGAGCTACGAAAGGTAGAGCAGCCTTGACCACAGATGCAGGGATACCATCGGTGCCACGAGCACCAGTGGAAAAATGCATTACCGCACACACAACCTCACGAACTGTTACAGAGTCAAAGGCAAATCCATTGCCAGTAGCTGCTGGATCCCTGATCAGTGCCTCAAGACAGTCCTCCACCAGCGGCTCATCCGCATCAATGGACACATCCGCAAAATGCTCATTAAGAGTCTCCCCATCATGCGTAGTGGTACTAGACTCATTCTGAAGAATTCCT